CCAGACTATAGATTGATATATAGTTCAGACTACAGATTGATTTATAGTTCAGACTATAGATTGATCTATAGTCCAGACTATAGATTGATCTATAGTCCAGACCATAGATTGATTTATAGTCCAGACTATAGATTGATCTATAGTTCATAGATTGATATACAGTCCAGACTATAGATTTAGACTATAGTCCAATATAAAGATTATACGATTGACTATAGATATAGATGGTATAGATTAGGTAGTAGACTATAGATTGATCTATAGTCCAGACTATAGATTGATCTATAGTCCAGACTATAGATTGATCTATAGTCCAGAATATAGATTGATCTATAGTCCAGACTAAAGATTGATCTATAGTTCAGAATATAGACTGATCTATAGTCCAGAATATAGATTGATCTATAGTCCAGAATATAGATTAATCTATAGTTCAGAATATAGATTGATCTATAGTCCAGACTTTAGATTGATCTATAGTCCAGGCTACAGATAGATCTATAGTCCAGACTATAGACTGATATATAGTTCAGACTACAGATTGATTTATAGTTCAGACTATAGATTGATCCATAGTCCAGACTATAGATTGATCTATAGTCCAGACTATAGATTGATCTAAAGTCCAGACCATAGATTGATTTATAGTCCAGACTATAGATTGATCTATAGTTCATAGATTGATATACAGTCCAGACTATAGATTTATCTATAGTCCAGACTATAGATTTATCTATGGTCCAGACTATAGATTGATCTATAGTCCAGACTGTAGATTGATCTATAGTCCAGACTATAGATTGATCTATAGTCCAGACTGTAGATTGATCTATAGTCCAGACTATAGATTGATCTATAGTCCAGACTGTAGATTGATCTATAGTCCAGACTATAGATTGATCTATAGTCCAGACTGTAGATTGATCTATAGTCCAGACTATAGATTGATCTATAGTCCAGACTGTAGATTGATCTATAGTCCAGACTATAGATTGATCTATAGTCCAGACCATAGATAGATTTATAGTCCAGACTATAGATTGATCTATAGTCCAGATGATAGATTGATCTATAGTCCAGATGATAGATTGATCTATAGTCCAGACTATAGATTGATATATAGTCCAGAATATAGATTGATCTATAGTCCAGACTAAAGATTGATCTATAGTCCAGACTATAAACTGATCTATAGTTCAGACTATAGATTGATATATTTTAATATTTATATTGATAGTTAGGTTATTTGCACAAAATCGCACACAATTACTAGTCCCCAAATATATAGGGATGTCAAAGGTAAAAGTGCAAAATTTGAGGTTTCTAGCAGTTATAGTTTCTCAGGTGCCACGTTCAGAATTGTTTCTAAGGCCATTTTTATCCTAAATATTTATATTGATACTAATGTTACTTGATCAAAATTTGATGACTCTAGTTTTTAATAGTTACCAAGATATACGAATTTTATTATTTAATTCATTAATTCAAAACAAAAATCGGTCCGTCGGGTATAGACTTCAAACAAACACACATATTTAAACTTTTTTTAATCATAAAATTTGAACAAAATAACCGGTCAGAAAGATTGATTGGAGCTTAAGAGAAATCTTTAGTCACCATCTGCAGAAGTCAGACAATAATTTACACTCCATTGTATTGTGTGTTATAAGTAAAAATAATAAGATTATACTCTCTAGATCAAAGTGACGACTGTCTCAGCACTCGCTTACAAAAGGGACACGAAAGTGACTATTATCTGTACTGCTAGTTCCACAAAAAGGCAATGCATTTGACCCCGATAGCCATTTCTACTAACGTTTAACCATCAGGTTGGCTCTAATTCTTCTTTCGTCATGAATGTACTCTTTGCAAACGACAATGGAGACAGTCACTTTAGGGTCACTTTTGTCGGCGAGAGTGAAGACAGTTGACACTTTAATGTTCCCAAGTAAACTAGAGAGTAGCATTTTAAAAAGTGACTTAAACGATTATGTTCATTGCCATGGATTAACTCCTTTAGTAGTCGGATGGCTAGGGATAAACCCAGAAGTAGTAGCTTAAATTGCTGCTTGAGTATTCTTAATATTGTCTGCACGAATGTTTATATATTAATCATAACTTTAAAAATTTCTCCGCATGTTTTAGTCAAGGTCATATTGTAAAACATTATTGAATATAGTGTCGACTTTTGTTATTATTTATATGCCTGAAACAACCCTTGTGGCATAATAAATTTAACAATAACAAGCAACCCATTGTCCAGTGTATGACCTTTTCGACTAAACCTAAAATCGTTTCCGCTTCCTGCCAGCCAGTCTTTTGTATCATAGATTAACATAAGTTCCCAAACTCCAATTTGTTTTTATTTGCCACACATAAATTGTGAACAGTTTTAGTAAAACCCTTATTATATGAATTTATTTAAATTTATATTTTTATATCCGTTTCCGCTAAGTCCCATTCCCCACCAGCATTTACCATTGACATAAATAATTTTTGAAAATATGTGAACATTTTTAACGCATGATTGGATTTAAAAAAAATAAATTTATATTTTGTACGATTTTTTTCCCAGATATTTTTAAATAAATATGCATGATTTTTTTTATTGAAATTAAATAAATATTTAATAAATTTGTTGTCATATGTCAGCGTATGTGGCAGCTGGTTGTTGCTGTTGTGTATGTTTTATATGCTACAACAAGGACAACAACAATAAATATTTGTTGTGCAGCATTTGGTATCATCAATTACAGTGGGTATGTGTAAATATATGTATGTACATTCACACATATGTACATTCATAAGTATGTATATGTGTGTTTGTATATTTGATTCCCTTTTTGCAATTTTGTACGTGTTAGGACTTATTAATAATAACTATAACATCTACAACTACAACAACAATATCAAACATAATGATAATAATGATCATAATTATATTTGTATGTGGAACGAATGGCATAATCGAATAATAGAAAATATTTTTTAAATACTTATACAAACTATATACGTACATATACATACACATACATATATTACCCAAATATTAACACAATTTTACACATACATATAAATGTGCACTTGTACATACATAATTCGTATGTAATAACTATTAATCATGACATTTAATTTATAACCACACATATACAGTATGTTTCAAAAGTCTTCTGACATGTGCAATCTTTTGCTTTTCTAACTTTGTGTGCACAGTGGGGTAGAACCCTGGATTGTTTGTTTATACCGTATACCTAGTATTATACGTTTGTGCTGATGTTTATAATACAGGAAAAAATTGGTCCCATATCCACCTTAAAATATACCAATTAACTCAGATTTACTTTCGGGGTCGAATCATACACATTCGTCTAGCTGTACAAGATACTATGTAGTTCTGTTTAAATGTACTAAGATTTGTATATATGTACGTCTTATAAAGTCTTCTTTTTATCAGAAGAAATATTGCAAAATTTCTCACACACAATTTTCCATTCCTGATTTTAGCAATAACAAAATAATAACAACATACAGCTTCATTAGTTACGTGTTGTTCTTGGTCTTGCAAACTAAGTACAAGAACTACATATACTATAAGAATCTTCATGTTGTTGTTTTCTTGAGTCTACAGTTCAGAGGTAGTCTCGGATTTTTGCTAATATATTCGTCATTTGTGAAACTATTTTAAATAGGAAACTTCTCGAAAGCATGTCTGACAGAATTATTGACGATTTGGATCCGAAAGTTGTTCGTGTTCTTTAGAAAATTTATTTCAAAAATTTTTACAGACAGATATACAATAAGGCTTAATCGACTCGATATCTATAAGGATCCAGAATATACATAAGTAAATACTTTATAGGGTCTGGAAATTATATTATAGAAATCACACATGGAATGACAAACTTATATATACCGAGATGGTCTTTCCCCATCCGGGGAATATGGAATGACTTAACCGGGGGTTGAACCAGAGAACCATATAATCGGGTACCAGGGAAACCGATAGCCCACAGGACAGAGTTTCGTACTTTGTCTTGTCCTAGTTATTGGAGTTGTCCCTTCGGGGTGCATGTGATGCCTGTGGCTTAAACCCAAACTCACGGGAAGTGTATGTTGATTAAAAGACTGATACACGGAGAAATCTATATTTCGGGATAAGTTCGATGCTGTTACCGAGGCAACAGATACCCCGCAGAGTAGTGAGTGTGGAACTAAGCGTTGGAAATGAGTTGGTGTCAAGTTTATATACATATGATACGGGATGGGTGAAGTGGTATGGGGGACTCATGGCTATTGTTTACGTACTTCGACTATACAAATTTGTTCGTTTTTTGGGAGTTGTCGGATTTGTTTCCCATTAATTGTAAATCAACTGCTCCAATTTTAGTCAGCAGTTGATCTCTCGGGGATATTATTTTAAACCTTAAGAATGAAGCTTTAAACCAGTTCTGGGAACTAGGATAAATTTGAAAATACAAATTGTTTTTTAGAATTTTCTACATATTTTGAAAGAAATTAGTTCAAATAATTTCCTCACAGACTGTACTCTACATTAGCATTACCAAATATAATTTTGTATGAGCATGGAAATATTTGAGTGAATATAATTATTTGAAATTATACAAATTTAGTTTCTGATTTGTAGTATGTATTTAACTAAGTTTATAGAATTTATAAAAGAATACTGCATACTTAAATATACATAAAATTGTATTCATGAATGTATATTTTAAAATTATACATTTATCAACAATAATAATTTTAAAATACCAACATGTTAGTAATTTTCTGTCTCTTCTCTTTAATGTATGTATGTACGTTGTTTGTTCTTAAATAATTTGGTTTTATACTTATTATTTAATTAAACATATTTTATACGTACTTATAATTCTGTTTATTTATTTGTTTTTGTATGTATTTTATTCGTACTTACTAAAATATTAATATTAATTATCTAATAGACACATTGGTTATTTCCTTTTTAATAGTATTTAGTATCGTCATCGTTGACATACAACTACAACAAATACTACAAATAACACAACCGAGAGTATTGGGTTCACCATTGAACCTGATGCATGCTGCATGGCAGCTGGTTCTTCACCTGTAAATAGAAGATATTAGAGATACAAACATACATTAATATAATTAAATGTTATTAAATTAATTACATTTTTGGGTTTTATTAAAATCTGGTTAAACTTAAGTAGTATCAAAGGTTCATTGTGCTATTTTACATTTAATATTGATTTTTTGTGTAAAAATAATTAAAAACTGTACACATACTACAAAATGCACTGTTGAATAAGTTTTATTAGACCAATGTCTGTACTATATACCAGTCTATAGTTAGTTATCAATTGCAATTTTGTAGTCTGGATTATAGACTGATCTATAGTCCAGACTCTATATTGTTCAATAGTCTAGACTATAGATTTATTTCTATCCTTGCTTATGGACTGATCTGACCACAGACCAGAATATAGATTGGTCTATAGACAAGACTATATATTGGCCTATAAACAAAACTATAGATTGGTCTATAGTCCAGACTATAGATTTGTTTATAGACCAGACTATAGATTTTCTATAATCCAGATATAGATATAGATCAATCTATAGTCCAGAGTATAGATTGGTATATAATTATATAGTCCAGACTGTAGATTGGTCTATAGTCCAGACTATAGATTGGTCTATAGTCCAGACTATAAATTGGTCTATAGTCAAGACTATAGATTGGTCTATAGTCAAGACTATAGATTGGTCTATAGTTCAGACTATAGATTGATCTATAGTCCAGACTATAGATTATTCTATAGTCCAGACTATAGATTGGTCTATAGTCCAGACTATAGATTGGTCTATAGTCCAGACTATAAATTGGTCTACAGTCCAGACTATAGATTGGTCTATAGTCTAGACTATAGATTGATCTATAGTCCAGACTATAGATTGGTCTATAGTCCAGACTATAGATTGGTCTATAGTCCAGACTATAGATTGGTCTATAGTCCAGACTATAGATTGGTCTATAGTCCAGACTATAGATTGGTCTATGGTCCAGACTATAGATTGGTCTATAGTCCAGACTATAGATTGATCTATAGTCCAGACTATAGAGTGGTCTATAGTCCAGTACCCCGTTTCTGTATTTTTCACATCGAGAAAAATTGTCGGAAAATTTGTGATCAACCTGTATAAAACAGGGCGAACACAAGAAATTTAAATATTTGTTGTTAAATTTTAATGCGTACATTTTGAAAATAAACTGAATAACCCTGTTAAGAACTGGAAGACCATCATATTTTTATTTTTTTCTCGATTCGAGAAAAATACAGAAACGAGGCATAGACTATAGATTGGTCTATAGTCCAGACTATAGATTGGTCCATAGTCCAGACTATAGATTGGTCTATAGTCCAGACTATAGATTGGTCTATAGTCCACACTATAGATTGGTCTATAGTCCAGACTATAGATTGGCCTATAGTCCAGACTATAGATTGGTCAATAGTCCAGAATATAGATTGGTGTATAGTCCAGACTATAGATTGGTCTATAGTCTAGACTATAGATTGGTCTATAGTCCTGACTATATAGATTGGTCTATAGTCCAGACTATAGATTGGTCTATAGTCCAGACTATAAATTGGTCTATAGTCTAGACTATAGATTGGTCTATAGTCCAACCTATAGATTGGTCTATAGTCCAGAATATAGATTGGTCTATAGTCCAGACTATAGATTGGTCTATAGTCCAGACTATAGATTGGTCTATAGTCCAGACTATAGATTGGTCTATAGTCCAGACTATAGATTGGTCTATAGTCCAGACTATAGATTGGTCTATAGTCCAGACTATAGATTGGTCTATAGTTCATTGGTCTGTAGTCCATTGGTCAATTGGTCTATAGTCCAGACTATAGGTTAGTCTATAGTCTATATTATGGGTTGGTCTGTAGTCCAGACTATATATATAATCTAGGCTATAGATTCGTCTGTAGTATAGACTGTATTAAAAATGAAAACGATGATGAATCCCTATTTTATCAGAAAAATAGACTAATCTGAAGTCTTTACCATATGAAACAGTTTATATTTAAAAATAGTTATCGTAGCCACATTATAAAAATTTAAATTTATAATTACCCGTTAACATTCTTAAATACATACATATTTCTTTAATCGAAATAACTTTGGTTAAAGAATCTTTATCTTATGTGGTTACAGAAAAACTCCCTGGAATTTCTTTAACCAATTTATAAATGTTTGGCATGTGTGTGTATGTTTTGCCTTAAATATTCCAAAAGCATACTGTACGAAAGAAACATTTGTTTAAACATTCATTTAAAGTTCAATACAGATTTAGATTATATTTTGGTTGCACAAAACATTTTCGAAAAACTGAAGCTGAAAACTGAAAAACTAAACGAAAAACAAATATTGCACATTTCGATGTTTCAAATACTTGAATGTGGGTGTGTAAAATGAAATGTATGTTTTTAAAGATAAAAGTATTTTTGAAAATATTTGTATATGTATGTATGTGAGTGGGAATAAGTGTGTTTTAGAGTGTAAATATATATTTAGATTTCTATACATACCATTTAGAACATGTACCATAACTGTTCCAGTGATATCATTGCCAAGTATACATGAATAGTTTCCAGTATCATGACGATTCGCATTGGCTATATAAAGACGACTAAAAGCACGTCCTGGTAGCATATCGGTTTTCACACTATTAACAAGAAGAGATACAAAAAAAATAAGAGAAAAAAAAAGAATTATATACACTTTGAATAACAAGAATATAACGAAATATGTATTTTTATATACTAGTAGTACAAAGCATGGAATCTGATGAAAACTTCAATATTTGATGAAATTTAATAAAAATGGAAACATGAACGAATGAAATATATCTAAGAAAATTTACTTATTATAATCATACGTACACATACGTACACACACATCTATATGTGTATTTGAATGATTAAAGGGCATTTGTGAAAGAGTTGTTATTTGCTTCTGATTTTGTTTTATTCCCTCGATCTCTTCGAGATAAGATATTGAATTTTGAAACAACTGGATTAAATGCATATTTTTTTAAATTTTAAAAATATTTGTTTACATATATAGCAAACTAAAATAACACTATTATTTATACCCCCTTTATAGAACTTTGCAATACTTTTTTTATATACTTTTCCTTTACCGTTTGTTTGTTTTCAATATTAGTTCAACATGAATGACCAAGTTATTCAAGGATTTTGTTGTTAGATTATTCATTTACAATTTTTTAATAAAATTTCTTGAAATAATATACACATACCATAAAACTCTAAACATATTTGGGTGTAACTGTAGTTTTGTACTTAAATATAAATATTTATATTATGCATTTTATTATAGTTTTTGCTTAGTTTAGTTGCTGAAGGATTACTCGAGAAAAACTGAACCGTATATGAAGTGTATTACAACCCAGCAAAAACTCAATAATGACTTGTACTCACATAATAACTTAGCCTGTAATGACAACTGCATACCGCCTGCATTACTTTTAAGTTGTGTTTAAGTGTTGTTATGAGTAATATAGCGAATTAATAAACAAGTGGTATAGGTTCGTATTCTGTGTGGGCATTTTTGTGGTCGTAAAACAAAACAATTTTGTAACTCTCCATTTGTAAGTACTTATTTAAATAGTAATTTGTAAACGAGCGTGGTATGTACCTACCTCCAATGTCATTAATACTAATGAATAAGTAGTAAAAAGAGAGTTTTTAACCTTTTAACTCATTACATTTCAATGTAAGTTTTTGCTGGGAAGCTTCATATTAGTTGTTTTTTAATTGAACTCCTATAATATTATTGTAAAACGCTCTTTAAACTTTTTTACATTTTTCTGCAGAAAACTATTGTAAAATCGTTTTGTCATTGAGGTGTTAAATTGGGACAGTTAGCTTAACGATGTTTTTAAATTTGTTTAAAATTAAATGTAAAGGAATATTTGAAATATTTACTGCTAAAAACGACAGAATTTAAAATTACTTTTAGAGGAATATTGGGACAGTTAGGTTAACGATGTTTTTAATTATTTTTTAAATTCCATGTAAAGAAATATTTCAAATATTTACAGCTAAAAACGACAGAATTTAAAATTACTTTTAGAGGAATATTGGAAATATTTACTTCTAAAAACAACAGCATTTTGATACATGTCCTAGTAAGAATTGGACCAATCAAATTTTTTGACCAGAAATTTGTTCATCATAAAGCTGAGATAAATTTAATTTGAAGTCCATACAAAGAATTTTGATCTACAAAATGCCCAGTAACTGTCTTCACTACTTGGACAAAGGGCAAATAGGGCTAGAACTGGATGTAACAGTCCATAGCGAAATCATATCAAAATACTTGGTGTCAAATTCGCCAGCCTCCTTATGTCCTTCTCGAAACCACTGTAGTCTACAATAAAATGGGAAGTACTTAGGAACAAGGTACTCAGGTCTCTAATAGGCAGAACTTGGGGAATGGATAAAGAAACCTTGCTATCTACCTACCAAACGATTGGCCGGTCAGTGGTAAACTACGCATCACCAGTGTTCAAAGCTGTTGAGGATAATAACGCAATACTATTCTGGAATGTCGGCTACTGGATTTAAGTCTAGCTGATTTGGATTACACCGAAGGGGCAAACTGTACCGCAATTAGTTCGAGTACTGGGTTCAAGTCTTAGTTAGTTAGTCATTTAGTTAGTTAGTTAGTTAGTTAGTTAGTTAATTAGTTAGTTAGTTAGTTAGTTAGTTAGTTAGTTAGTTAGTTAGTTAGTTAGTTAGTTAGTTAGTTAGTTAGTTAGTTAGTTAGTTAGTTAGTTAGTTAGTTAGTTAGTTAGTTAGTTAGTTAGTTAGTTAGTTAGTTAGTTAGTTAGTTAGTTAGTTAGTTAGTTAGTTAGTTAGTTAGTAGTTAGTTAGTAGTTAGTTAGTTAGTTAGTTAGTTAGTTAGTTAGTTAGTTAGTTAGTTAGTTAGTTAGTTAGTTAGTTAGTTAGTTAGTTAGTTAGTTAGTTAGTTAGTTAGTTAGTTAGTTAGTTAGTTAGTTAGTTAGTTAGTTAGTTAGTTAGTTAGTAGTTAGTTAGTTAGTTAGTTAGTTAGTAGTTAGTTAGTTAGTTAGTTAGTTAGTTAGTTAGTTAGTTAGTTAGTTAGTTAGTTAGTAGTTAGTTAGTTAGTTAGTTAGTTAGTTAGTTAGTTAGTTAGTTAGTTAGTTAGTTAGTTAGTTAGTTAGTTAGTTAGTTAGTTAGTTAGTTAGTTAGTTAGTTAGTTAGTCAGAAGAAGAGAGTAGGAGAATCCCGAGTTATCTGCACCAACCTACCCCAAGAAATCCTAGGAATATGAAAACAAATTTATTTAATATTTTCCACAAGTTTTATATTGGCGCCTTAACGTATGCTTCAAAAATATTTTATTATTTCTAAAGTGGTATGTGTGTGAACGAACGGTTTAGGGAAAGATTTCTTTAATGCATAATTTGTTTACTATTAAACCAAAATTAAATTTAAAATAAAGCGGCATTCGCGTTTAACTCATGTACCGATTATTTTTGTATTTGAAAATGATTCCGAAAATTTACCTAGAGTCTTCGATCTCAAGTCTTTCTAGGAACAGTTTAAAGAACGGAATATTAAAGAACAATTTTTTTGCATTAAGTAAAAACAAACATACGAATAAACAAAAACTTTAAACATTCATATCTGTATGCATTTTGCAGTGTCTGCAATGTATTTTGTACCACACGTCGTATGATTGATGAGTGTGATGGTGATTATTGCACCACACGTATACGTCATGTAAATTGCGATTTTTTTTTTACAGTAAATCACTATAAGTTAAAAGGAGTATGTGAGCAAAATTTTGTAATTTCAGCAAAAAAAAAAAAAAAAAATGTGACGCCATATGTACATTTAATTTGACCAATTGATTTGGAATAACTGAATCGTTTTAACCTATTAAATTGCTTGTATTTACACATTTTTTATACAAAATAATGAACGAAATCTAATCTAAATTTTTACATATTTTTGCATAGTCTTGTCTATTGTTTAGTCTGTAGTCTAGATTATAGTTTAGTCTATAGTCTAGTCGATTGTTAGGACTATAAGTAGTCTAGTCTATAGTCTGCGCTACTGTGTAGTCTATAATCAGAACTATTGTCCAGGCTATAGTCTGAACTGCATATAGTTCATATATAGTCAGGACTATAGTTTGTTTTATAGTCTGGACTACATATATTCTAGACTATAGTCTAGTTTTTTGTCTGGACTATGGTCCGAATTACTATCACTAACTGAGTCGAAGTGGCCTCCGGTAGGTTAGTGGTTAGTGTTCTAGTCTGGTAGACCGGAGGTGGTGGGTTCGATTCTCACCTGAGGCACTGGTTAAGGAGCGCACAACAGGCCCGATAGAGGCATAGGTGTTTTTCATCGGATTTGATGTATATACATCCTCCTTTCAAACTATCTAACTAACTGAGTTGAACCAAAGATGTCCGTCTGTCCGTCAAATGTTGATGAAAATTTATATTTAACCATTTGTAACCGAACTAAATGTATCAGATAATTTTTTGTTTCCATTATAGCGTATATATATATATTTGTCCTTTTATATTTTATTATTTATTTCTTGTTATTTTTACTTGGAAATTTATAAAATATCATAAATATCAGAGTGTTTATTCTGCACATGCAAGATTATTTCTTTATTTTCTTTCTCACTTTCTCTTTACATTTTACATATTCAATTGATTGGTTTCTGCTAAAATTGAGTTGATATGTAATATTTCAGAAAATATTTTAAATAAATTATTTATGCTTTCAGCAGAAAAACAAAAAGAAATAAACAAAATACATTGAACTTTTAAAGGGTTTAAAAATCAAATTGAAATATTTACGTATGATTGACAATTTTTTTTTTTGCAGAAAGATTTATTTAAGATGGATTAAAAGTAAATTTTGTAAATGACAATACGTATTTATGTTGTAGGTAAATAAAGAATTTAAGGAAGTTTATTTAGTTTTTATTTGACATAAATATTTATAAAGTATGTTTATAACACATTGTGTAATTGAAAATGTTACTGTTGCATATTTCTAAATAATAGTTTCAGTAAAGTTGAATCCTAAAGAGATAATAGGGTGATCGAATCGATTTTTCAACCGGTTTTAAACCCGTTTTTTTCTGCTTTACCAGTGTCGGTTTTTTCTTAATGTTGATTTTTCGAATATCGAATAACCCGGTTTTTTCACTTTTTAAAAACCGGTTTCGAATACCTTTATTTACATTGTATTCAAAGATTATTTAAATGAAATTTTTAAGTAAATAATAATACAGCCCGTCTAAATTTTTATAATATTCGAGTCGAGGAACTAGCGTATATTTTTCTACAGCTCCTTTGGTTAAACTGTTTTGATTTTCCTAATTAATTAAAAAAATTTATTTGCAAAATTAATAACTATTTGATAAAATTTTATCAATTTTAAGATTATATTCCAATTACAATAATTAATTTACGGCTGAAATTTTATGGAAGTGTTGGAATGCCTATACAAATATCCTAAACAGGGCTTTTAAAATAGCTAGGATTACATAGTACCTTATGTTTAACAGAAGTATCCCACTTTTTTCCTAATTTTTTTATATTAAAGAAATAATGTAAATCAGACGACTAGATCTTAAGTTATAATCTTT